AAATGTCCTCTTTAAGTGCGTCTCCTCCTCCGTCAATTAAGGGTAGGCAACGCATCTGCAATTGCAGATGTCTATGGGCAGCGGTCGCTTCGCCATTTTGGTGATTTCAGGTGGCCGCTTGCTCGTTTGGCACCCTATGTTATAAAAAAAAATTAAAACAAAATGGTCGCTTAAAATTATTTCCTGTACATTTACCCAATCTTTTTTTAAACTTCGTATTAAGATATTGATTGTTAATCACATTTTTTAACATCTTTCTGTTTCATTTGCAGATGCGTGTGGTCTGTCTGACGTGCCGCACATAGAGAGCTTACAAGAAAAATCACAATGCGCGCTAGAAGAATACTGCAGAAGTCAATATCCCAACCAACCGACGAGGTTCGGGAAACTCCTACTCCGACTGCCTTCATTAAGGACCGTCAGCTCACAAGTTATTGAACAACTGTTCTTTGTACGTCTTGTTGGAAAAACTCCCATAGAAACATTGATAAGGGACATGTTATTATCAGGGAGTTCGTTCTCATGGCCGTATATGGCAACCATGTGACATTCGATGTGGCGACAGCTCGCGGCGGCCTGATCCTCGCCGTACGGCTTCCCGCCGTACTTACCTCAGTTCCACCTTCAGAGGTACCAGAGTGAGGGACAAGAGGACGCGGTGACGTCATCCAGCGAGTTACACGAACAGTCTGGTTACAGGAGAGAGAAGACCGATTATAATTTCGATCAGTTCTCAAAGACATCTGACGTGTTCGAAGCGAGTTCGGAGTCGAAAAATAAGTCGTTGATCGACAACCTTTTGAATTTAAGACAAGAATCTTGTTCATTGTCGGACATTAAGTGAACAGTGGGTCAGTAGAGTTGATTAGTTCATTTTGTTCCTTTGTAAAAAACGATAATTTAGGTTAGTTGTAATATTTAAAGATGTAAATAAAATGTTTTTATTATTGTAAATGTATTGAATGTAATATAATATATGGTACGAGAGACGTGTTTCTATAGATTAGTTTCGACGATGTTTCCTTGATCGGAATTGAGTTAGGTTTCGAAACTTTTTATACGCAATACTTTTTAGTGGTTGTTTTTAGAATGTATTGAGGAGCAGTTGAGAGCAATGAAAGTCGGTCGTGCAATCTTGGTGTTTAGTTATCTATTATAATTTAGGGATAATACATTTTGGAGGTCTTTAAAAACCTTTTTTTTTATTTGATGATAAAGTTGGAAATACACTCAGTACGAATTTAAATTCAATCAATATAATAAAACAATTAAAAGAAAAAACAAAATAAATTAAACTCACTGAATGTGTTTCAAGCTATAATTAAAATTGTCAAATCGTTAAAACCTTTCTTATACTGGTGCTCTGTATTTTTTTATTTAATCTGTACAAATTAATTCCTTTAAAGCATTTAGTTTTTTTCGACTCTTTAGAAACTTTTATATTATTTTTAAATATTTAAATCTACAAAAATCATGATAATTTGTAAACAAAAAATATTCTATTGTTTTTATGTGTGTCGTGTAGTTTAAATTTATTTTATTTTAATGCGAATATTGGGAAATATTTTATTATACATTTCGGTGGTTACACTTATGTTTAAAGATTCCAAAGAAAAAAACTCTTTGACATTCGTTGAAAAAACTATATTATCATACAATTACATTATTTTTAATATGTCAACATAATAAATATTAACAAAATGTAAATAACATTTCTACAAAACAATTTCCTTTATTTTAAATTTGAACTTTAATACGGAAACTAAATAATTGTACTTTCATGTAACCACCAAAAGTTCACAAAATTTATACGGTTTTCCCGAAAAATAAAACAGGTTTCCATTGTTAGAAACTCATACAAACATGTATAACCTTCTCTTTCACATCCTTCAATAAAACTGAGACAGTGATATGTTTGTGTACATGTTTTTAAACAGTGGAAACTTACATCACAAACTTCTCCTGCCAAATCTATAAAGCAATATATTTATTTGCATATAATGTACAGAGATGGTTGTAATTAGTGGGTGTGTATGGGACTGAGCGCAGTTGTATGACGAATTCAACAATAAAACAAGTCTCTTATAAAACAATGCATTTCATTTCATTCAAATATAAAATCTAAGTATAACCGCATAGATCTCAAAATTGTTTATCGATAAAAAGATAACCTGATATTAAGTGACAAGCCTTTAACTACGAAATACTCTGTCTCTAGAACAATTTAATCGACAGAGAAACAGCAAAATAATACACGCAATTCCTATTCCTATCACCTCCCCTGTCGTTTTCTAAGTAAGTGCAAAGGACATCCCTACGTCAGACAAAATGCTACCTTCAGTTGAAGTCCGCGTCAATCTGCAAAGCTAATGACATCAACACACTTCAGGTGCAGTACAAAATGGATACTATCAAGGTAGCACACCATCGTGGAACCATCAGATCGCGTGTCACAGCTGTTCCCAACACGCGAACTGAGATTCGCCGCACGTGGGAACTACATATTCATAGTACGGTTTCTGTACTAATTAAAAAAATAGTTACTACTAAATTATAGGTTAGTATTAAATTATGGTTTTATAAGGTATTGTTTGACTGATATTTTTCTCAATAAGACTAAGATTGCAATTTGTAATTAATATTATGTGATCACAGCTATCATCACAGATTAAAAAGAATGTAAGACCTTTTTACGAGAAACAAAAACATAGAGCATAAGATTTTAAGAGAAGAAAATAGGGTTTGTATAAAACTGCTTACTATTCGATTCCAATAAAACGAGACAATTTAGTATTAAAGAGAAGTTAACCGTTTGATTATAAAAACCGAATCAAAATATTATAACACAGGGTGTTATATTGGCCTGTCTAACTATTCTAATGACTACACTTTTCTGAATACAAAATCCATTCCAAATATCTATAAAATCGCAGTGCAGGTTACCAACCGCCACACTTACCAACCGTCCGGTTACAAACCACAGAGCAATTAATTACCGCCACACATTAGCGGTTAAACTGACGTTCGAATTTTTAAACGAATTTATTAACCAGAGTTATAATGCCATTTGTTTCCTAAGTGAAACAGTTGTTGTATAATCAAAGTCTATAGAAATGAAAAATTATAACTTATCCAAACAATTTACCTTTCTAAAACTAAGTTATTGTTACAACTGTTTAGAGTCGATTTGATTCCTATGAGCTTCTATGGAGGTGTACCCTCGATTTTTAGTTGTCCAACTAAACAATTGAATTGGCTGCGAAACAATCGACAATCGCACAACCGTTGCTATAGTGTAGTCAAAGGTATACGCCCGTTCTAAGACTGTAATCACAGACTAATTAAAAACAGACTCTACAAAATAAAATGATAGACAATAAAGACGAGTATTATTTCTCATTTTATTACATTTCACTATAGATTTAAACAGATAATAGAAAAGTCATTTCTAGTTTATTTAAAGTGTCTCTATCTTTTCGTCACTGAAACTATTTATGTTGTCAGCTAAAATACCTTATAAATGCTATTACGCAGGCAAAGATATTTCTTCATAAAGCGTGGTATTCCACGCTCTCTTGAAACTCATAACCGTAGTCACATGATCTGTATAAACTAGGTATATACTTATCTATATTTACACTGATATAATGAGGAAAGATTTGTATTTTAGTATTTATTGAAATAACTCAAAAACTACTGATCCGAACACAAAAATTCTTTCAACATTTAAAAGCTACGTGAACAGTGAGTAACATAGGCTATGTTTTTTACTACATTTTAATTCAACGTGGTCGAAGTCGCGAGCAACAACTAGTAACCTAAATATCTTTAACACAAATATTAGGATAGAGTTACTTTTATATAGAATATAGTAACTGTTATTCAAGCACATGTTTCAGTAAATATTTTCATAATTTGTAAACACTTCAGTACTATTTCAGTTAGGTAAAGGGCGTTGGGCGGGGCAGAGGTCGCCCAATGGGGTCGGAGGTCACGACCCGCGGATACTTGCGTAAGGTGAAGTCTTGCGTCTGATTGATTTCTACCTACTGTTTACGCCCTTTGTGTTACTGAAATATCTACAGAAGTTAACAGATATTTGAAATACATAACATCTTCAAGGCAAACTCAATATTGTCTTTAAGATCGATCTGAAGGTGGTTTTAGTAACATTTTATTACTTTTCGATTAGTCTTTCAATCTGTAAATATAATATTATAAACATGAGTTATTTGGATCTCTGGATTTTTGTATGTTTTGACTTAAAAACTACTGGGCCGATTTAATAATCTTTCATATTTAAAAAGCTACGGTATTAGTGAGTAACATAGGCTATACTTTTTATTGTTTTTTATTGTTGTAGTTTTGTTGAAATACAGTCTTATTCGTTGATTCCTTTGATAATTATAGTAAATTTCTCTACACCGGCACCTCTAATGCGGCGCTAATGGCTACAGTTAAAGGAACTTGCAGCGTGTATTGTGTGTGAGATGTGTCCGATAATACAACGGTATCCAGCGATGCCCGTACTATTAAAGATCCTATAGAACAGGGAAAGGTGAAGAGTAGACATTTAATTATTTTAATTGACCAGTATGCATTTTTAAGTTTGTTTACATAATGAGATATTAAAATGTTTTATTGTAGTTTGGAGCTGTCAAAATAATGTTTTGTAATAAGTGAATTTAATTGTAAAAGTAATGTAGATTTAATTTATAATTTTTTGCCATTCCCATTTACGACAATTTAATTTTAATTATAGGATTTATCACAAAAAAAACAACATGTAATCTATCATATCTACAAATCTTTAAAATGAGTTTATTTGAATAATAATTCGTTAGTAAATATCGACTCTATGCATTTCTGTTCTAGAACACCGACTAATCGCGCGGGTGGTCGAGCCTGATTGTGATTGACAGTCGCACGTCAAAAATCCACCACTAACTTTCAATTCAACCTTTATTCACATTTACAAACCATCCATTACTGTCTTATAATGAGTTACAATCATCCCCGTCACTAGTAAAGCAGCAATGAATACCTTAGTGTTACAATAGTAGGGAATGTTACTATCATGGTAGAGGGTTTGCTAACTAGAGTTGGGTGTCTGAAGACCACGCTATGGTCTTCTCAGACGTGTGATGGGGATGTATGGAGCGGCTGACAGCTCCGAGTGAGAATGGATGTTGTTACATCAAAAGATTTTGATGGCTCATATCTACTCTGATTGTAATTCTTAATATTTTATCGTTCGTGTGAATGCGTCATTTTTTTAAGGTTTATTATTATTGTATTTTGATGTATATTTTAATTCTACGCTACTTTTTACGTTACTTTTCGCATGATTCCGTTAAAGTGCTTTCAAAGAAAATCATGAAGAAATCCATTCTTAATCTTGGTTGACATTACGCTATAACTTCCTTTTCTTTTAAACAAACAGTTTCAGTAGTAAAGGAAATAGTTTCCCTAGCAAATGAATTAGATAAAAAACCGCAGTCCCCCGTCGGTGTCCGGTAGCGGACAATTTATCTAAAAGTATCGGCTCCTAACGCACATTGTTTTAGCGACCGCCATCGAAATACCGACCCTAATAGAATTTACGAGCAACTGCATAACACGAGATGAGAAGAACAAGATATGCCAAACAATAAGTAAAATATTAAAAAAAAAACAATAAAAACAATTGACGATTTTTGTTAATCAAAATTTAGTAGTCAATTTAAAAAGTTTAAATTGAAAATTCAAATTCAGTCATTATTACAAGCTTTTATTGATTTTCACTTTTCACGTTGTCAGTCCGTCGGTCTGTAATTTTACCTTATGAATGGTTGAACGGTTAGTTAGAATTTATTAAATAAAACTGAATTAAATGTCCTTTATATAACATTTTATATCTAAGTTATTTTAAAATTGAAACGCGTCAGTTTTAGGTATTTTTTTAAATGTGTTTTTTTTTTTTCATTTATTAATTTTCTTTTCCTAATTTTATTGCTTTAATTTAGTTGGTTCTTGTTTTAATCTCATGTGTAGCAAGTAGGCGTCAGATTGACTTTCGTGAAAAAAGTGTGGCGATCCCTCTCCCTGTCTACACATTTTGCGGAACTGTCTCATACATTTTTCTAAGTATATTACCAAAGTCGTTGATCTTGACATTATAAAAGATAAAGACCAAATTGGCCATCGGTTCACCTTGTTCACTTGTATAATAGTTTTGTAGTTGCTAACAACAAATAAATCAAATTATGCGTCGATGTATTAACATGTTTTAATTATTGAATTAGCTTTTATCCGCGTGGAGTTGAAAAAAACAAAAGTTAATATCCTATATGTTCTTCAAGACTATACTTTACATCTATGCCAAATTTCATTAAGATCCGATTAAGTGTTTAGGCTACAAACTCTAACTAACATTCATC